ACGGGCTGCGGGCACCTTTGTAAATGCCCCGGCTTAGAGCCCGCTGCGGGGGGTGCGCCCCCCTGCTCCCTTCGCAGCCTTGGTCAGTAAATGTGCCGCTGCAGAAAAACTCCTGTGGGATCCTCCTGGTGTGAGATTTTTTTTTTTTTTTTTTTTTTCCTCAGCCTAACTGCTGAGCTGGGCGGGAAGGCTGCAGGTGCCTCCCTCCCCTTTCGCCCCCACTGCCTTTGCTTATCCAAACCCCACGGCTTTAGAGATGGATCCTGGCTGGCTTAGCTTGTTTCTCTGCCCCGCTTTTTACGGGACTTGAACTGCTGAGGCAGAGGGCAGGGGAAATGGTTTAGTTCTTTCTTTAACTGAACTCCAGTCGTCTAAGCAGGCGTATCGATACCACTTGAAACTTGCCCTGCCTTCCCCTCGAGGTCTTGCACTCTGTCCTGCGTCACTGCTCTGCACCTTCACGCGGTTCCTGCTATTTTTGCTCGCTTCCTCCTGAGACTCTTCAATCTGATAATCTCCTAATCTCCAGCTCCTGGCAATTCATCTGCAGTTGTCTTTGCTTTATACCTGGCTTATGTCTTGGGAGTTGTCGTCAAAATAGCATCTGACCTTGTTGGCTAATGCATGTTAAGAAATAGGCCTGCAGAGCTACAGGAGCCTCCTCATTCCCCAAATTCTTGTTGTTGCCTGCGCTGGGGAGAGACACCCCTATCACAAGTCATTGCTGTTGCATCGGTTTCTTGTACAGCATCCTCCTGATTTACACCCATTTTCATGACCAGTTTTTGAGTTGTTTCTTACCAGAGGTGCACTCTGCTTTCCTTTGTGGGCTGTCGAGGCCTTAAAATAGGAGCTGCCTGATCTGAGCTTAGACGCTTGGATGAGCACCACAGAAATACCTGTCACGTCTGTGAGAGGGGACACGTGCGTTCTCCTGGTTGCAGAGAAGGAGAAGGGGTCTTGAAAGGAGCACAACAAGGAGTGCTAACCCTATTGCACGTGAACTCCTTTCGATAAAATGTGCCTGGTGGGGGGGTTACAAAGGAAATTTGAAAATATAGGGTCAACTTTTAGCTTTCTCTGATGAGGATCAAACACCTAATCTCATCCATTGGATAACTGAAATAAAAGGGAGAGGGCAGGAGGAGAAAGTGCCTTCGTTAGCTTTCTTCTTGTATTATCTAGCACTGTATTATCCCTCACCTTTTGTGCTCCTTTGTAACACCAGCTCACTAAAGTACATGGCTGGAAATACACACCAGGGTTCACAGTGTACCACTGCTCACAAGAGAGTAGGCAGTGCCTCTGTCATTGTCTAGGCTGTTTTGCCGGTTTCTTTTGCAATCTGGGTTATTCTTGGGAGGGGAGGAAGGTTTCCTGGATGACAACCGGCTCTTCTCTGGATTGGACAGCAGAGGTACCACCTCCGAACTGTAAACTAGGAATGAGCATCCACAGCTTCCGATAACGAAGCTGGAGAGCTCTTAGCGAATGCCTTGCTACAGATTACTGTTTGGGGTTGTTTTTTTTTTTTGAATCACTTTTTTATACAAAGGGAATAGGAGAATTCGTGAAGGAATCCATTGTGTCTGGCTCAGGAAGGCTGTCACCTCTGCTGCTTCCTGAGACCACCACAGTGTTGCTAGTTGTGCTTCCAAACTATGGTATGTTTCCAGATAGAAGATGTCTCCAATAGTGGGGAGTTGCAGATCTTTAGGCATGATACAGAGATTCGGAGAAAGCAGCTGCAGGGGCACCAGCAGGAAGAGAGATGTGAGTGAAGTAGCTGCTAATACAAGGCTTGGGCAAGTTGCAAGAGTTTGCTCTCTGCTTGAGAGCAGTTCAACTCAGTTGGTGAACTCTTTCCAGGAAGAGTTTGGGTATGAAGGTCTGGGGTATGGCAATTCACTGGGCTTTAGGAAGGAGTAGGAAATGCTCCTCTTTTGTGACCTGTTTGTGCGCTACTTAGTGTGGTACTTCTTGGACAAAAGCCAATCTGTTGGGTTTCCGAAGACAGTGCTGACGTGTCCATCCCTTCAGCCCTTGTTCAGCGTCTGCTCTCTGTCAGCCCTGAATCAGGTGGGTACTGAGGGCCTGTTCAGGGACGTGCTGAGATTGTTTGGTTATTAACGGGGAAACAGCACAGCTTGCTTCAGGGGAAGTGGAAGAAACGAAAAAATGTTCTGTCCTGAGAGACCAAGCCTTCCTTTCTTGTAATGATCCACTTCACTCAATGGAGGTTTGAGCTGCCTTATGCTAACTAAAATAGACATGGATGCTGCCTCCATTCCCCAAACTGTAGTGACGGTGAATTAGGATAATGAAAGCGAATGATACATTTAAGTGCGTCACAGAAGTGTGGGCAACTGGGCCCTACAGTGGTTTAAAAATAAGTGTGTATGGGATGAGATTAGCAAATTTGGCAGTGCTCAGCTAAGCGGAAGTATCTGCCAATTGCAAGCAGCCCATTCCCAGTAAGACCTGCCAGTGTAGCCGCGGGCTTCTGTTATGTGTGGAGGAAAAAACCAGCACGTGGCTACTTTGATTTTTGAATGGGAATTGCAGCAAGCAAATGTAATACAGCCTGAGAGGAATATATATATACCTCTTTTTTTTTTCCTGCTAGGAGACTGGGCACTGCCAGAGGAGGAAAAAGCACTTGACTGCAGTACTCTGGCAGCTAATCTTCCCAGATGTCATCCAGTTAGATACTGGCATGTTGATTTTAAAAAAAAAAAAAAAAAAAGAAGTTTAAAATATTTTCAGTGCAAAAAGAGCTGGAAAATATAGTGCAGGGGTGCAAACATCAATGAGCAGGAGCCTGGTGGTGATTCGGCGCGGGGTTTACTCCTCTTCGGTGGCTCTGCTTGGCTCTCCTCTCTTCCAGATGAGTCATGGACACTGTTACTGCAGCAACACTGCTGCCAGGGAGGGGGATAAAGCTGTTGCCATGGTGCTGGATGGGCAGGAATTCTGCAGGAGGAAAAACACTTAATAATTAACTTGCAGGCAAATGCAGCTTCAGACTTTGCGTGCTCTAGGGAAGGTGTCCCGGGTTCCCAGGCGACCACCAGCCTGTTCTGGTACAGCCCCCTGCCTTCATGGAGAGCAGCTGGTCCAAGCGTGGCCGTGAGCGGTGAAGCCAGGACTCTGGGAAGCTGTGCCCGCTTCTGTCAGTTTGTGTTTTGGATGTGGCTGCTTGGAGCGGGGAAGTTGTGGGATGGGTTAAGAACTTGGGCTGGCTGGTGCGTTAGAACCTAAAATCATCGTGTAATTGCAGGACACCTACCTGAGGATTGTTAAACGTCGGGGCTTAAGGCAAGGGGTTGGTTTGAGTTTGTGTCCTGTCTCCTTGGCTACTGTTAAAGATGGAAAAGAAGATTTTGTGCGGTTCTTGGGTTATTTCGTCTAACACTGGGCTTGCATTTTTCTTGTGGTAGTAAAAAGGTTGAGCTTTTTATCTTGTTCTTCCTGCTAGTGTGGGCACTGGTGTTAGTTTTCCTTTGTGCTGTGTTGATAGGAAAAGGAAACCTCCCTGCCAAATGCCAGAGATGCTTCAAACACAGTCCTCTCTCTCAAAGCCCATTCCTTTGAGCATTCACGGTCTGGTAATGGTGATGGAGAGCAGTAAAACCATCTGGAGAGTACGTCTGACGTCTCTGTTCCTTGTAGCAGTGAGCACTCGGACAGTTCTCCAAGTTAAGGAGATTTGCAAAGAATAAAAGTCTTCCGGGGACGTGCAGGTGCTAGATGTGCAGTTCGTGCTCAGCAGCACCTAGGAGCAATCTTCCGTGGAGCTTTGCCTCTCCCTGCAGAGGGGCCTGATTTCTGTAATTACAGATCCCAGCACAAGGGCCTCGCTGTCTGGTGGTTGCAGTGTGTGGCGTTTGGGATGTTCTCTTACCGCACCGCAGCAATCTTTTATTAACTCCTTGTCTGTGGGATGTGCTAACCTCTGCCCATGAACCATAATCCCCAACCATAATGTAGGTTCCCGGTTTGTAATACGGGCGCTGGAGTGGGGGATGTAATGTGCAGGTACGATCTCTGAGTGCGCTGGAGCTTGTTTTCATAGAGTCAATGAATAAGCCTTAGGTGGACGGGGGTATTTGAATTTTAAAAACAGGAAAGCAGACGGAAGTAAGTGATTGACTCAGACTAACAGCA